ATAGGATAGGATAGGATAGGATAGGATAGGATAGGATAGGATAGGATAGGATAGGATAGGGTAGGATAGGATAGAGCTTGCACCAATATTCACTGCATTCAGTTTGTAGTCAGTCAAGTAGCTGGGGCTTCATTGGCTGAAGATCATAGTAATAGCACAAACTATTAGGAAAGCATAAGGTACAATTGCTAATCTACTTAGATACTAAACAGTTGTTAATCTATGTGCTGTTTACCCCATTTTTCACCCTAAAATATCTGATGGGACCCACAAAAGCATTCAAAAGATAACTGGCTTGGTGGTGTGCACATTCATACATTAGTTTCTTTAGTACAAGAAGAGCATTGAGGGAGTCAAGCCAGCATAAACACAGAGTGGCAGCCATTCAGACAGAACATCATGAAAAGTCAAGAAACCAAAACCAGGTGCTGAGGCCCAATGAATGACAACCTGGAATGATTCTCAGGATGCTGAGATGACAACTTAATCAGGTTTAGAGTAAAAAAAATGTGGCAAGGAAAAAGCAGAATCTAATGCAAGTCTTTTAATAAGTCCAAAGGGGAAAAAAATTCAAGAAGATAAAATCAATTTAAGAGTTAGCAAGGTTTTACTGAAACCAGTGTAAACTTGAAAGAAAGTGAAGGAAGAATGGCTAACTATCCATTATATACTTTTTAACTATCTCTAATCCAATGTCTTCAATCGCATGTTACATTTACAACCTCCACCTGAGAGACTTGGGAAAATGCATGGCTTCTGCCAAGCACATAACTATATATCCTGACACACAGAATGACCTGTGCAGGTGTAGTAGCTCCAAAGGAAAGTAACGATTCATATATAAATCCTGCAGTGATTAATAATCCCAAGGAGGTTTCAGAGCCTGCAAAACTGTCAGATTCATGTGAATCTGGTGCTGGCTATGATTACCATGACTGGGCTGCAGAAATCTGGATGACCACCAGATGACCACAAAGCTGTTATCCAGTTATTATCTGGATCTTTATACCCCAGATATGGTAGCCCTGGTGTTAGGTCTCCAACACACAAGCAGGGGAGAAAAATTCACCAGGAAAAAATTACCGACTAGGGTTACTGTTAAAGACAAAGGAGCATGGCCAGTGAAAGAAAATGGCAACCTAAAGTACACATCTTGGGGTCAGTTTTCTGAAAGTCTGGATTGATTGATTTATTGATTGATTGATCACATTTATATAGCCACCCATATATGGTAGAAATCGATTATTGATTTTTCCAAGTTTTGTGTTCAAGATTGCAGCCCATGTCAGTAAGCCTTAACTTCTTTCCTAGATGTAAATCCTAACGAATTCCATTATATTTTATATCTGACAAGGTCTGTATTGCAAAGATATGAATTTCAAATAATTGCCTGATCTTTTCATCAAATTTCAAATGTACATGGATCAATATATTAATCAGTATTCCTGTTTTAGACCCCCATTCCATCCTTCCCTTCTTGTTGATTATAGAATGATTTGTGGCCATAAAGCACATTATTTGTCTCATAATAAGAGAGGGGAAAGAATACAGTGTTATCAAGCAGCATGACTGGTGAAAGCAAATTGAATTTTAGGAACCCCACCCTCACCCAAGACACACTTAATTAAAGAGATGCAAAATTTTAACGCTTATACAATGAGAGCATATGGGATTGCAATTATTGTAGATCAATAAAAAGAGCTTTCTTTAAACGATGATGGGAACATGTGCTAGGGTGCATATAACAGTGTCTATGAAAAGCTCAGACATTAGATTCTGTACATAAAGAAAAAGGAAATGCAACTGAAATGAAAACCATTCCTCTAATGCTTACTTTCCTCTAACACCACACAGGCTCGATATAATTTGTCTGCCACTTGCTTTCTGCTGGGCAGGAATATTTCCATAATGAATAAGGAATGGTAAATATGAAAAGAGATAAAGCACACTTCACTTCTGCCATTAATTTCCCATTCCAGGCAATCCTTCCTCTACCATTTCTTTCTTGTTTTGTAACTGTGTGGTCTCATTTCCTACAGCTCACTATCCCTCACCCATCAATATATGGTCCTTCCACTTTGATCTTACCTAGGAAGATAAGAGTCTGTTTCTTGGATCCTCTGCTCTCTGGATGTTCTGTTTTCCTTAGAAATTGGCACTGCTTTTCTGTTCCTTTTACTGCCAATGTTGCTTGCTTGTAGACTATCAAAACTTTCATCATATTCCGGCACATAAATGCTACAGAAACCAACACTATGAGGTACACAGTGAAGGCAGTGAAAATACTAAACTGGAAGACTCTCCATTTAGATGATAAATTGGTGCATATTGTCACGTTTAAACGGAATTCAGGCAGGTGTCGGGCCTTGGGTCTTTCACAGACAGGCAAGTCTCGATGGCCTGGGATAGCTACCAACGGGTGCTCTGCACCCATTGCAAAAAGAAGGGGTAGGGCCACCAGCACAGATGTAATCCAAACAAAGGCAATGAGAATCTTCACTTTGTAGGGTCCGAAAGAAGCTTTGAACTTAAATGGATGGCAGATGGCAATGTATCTTTCAAAGCTTAGGGTGGCCACATGTAACACAGTGGCATAGCTGCAAGCCTCAAAGAGGAAGCTGTACAACTTGCAGGTTAGGTCTCCTTTTGTAGTAGAGAAAGGACTCCATATAATGCTGTAGAACTCCACAGGCATCCCCAGTAAGATCACCAAGAGATCTGAACATGCTAGACTTATCATGTGGTCAGTAACTGCTTTTTGCATATAGCCTTTCTTCTGCAGTATTTTGGAAGTCTGGATGGTGATGCTGTTGCCCAAGATCCCTGCCACAAAGATAATGCTGTAGATGAGGGCAAGGGTGATCTTGACCCATTTGGCTACTTCAAAGTCTTTCACGTGGCTGTCATCAATGAGGTGCCAACAATTCTTCCAGTCATTTTGCACCTCCATGAGCAAAACTAATTACAGAAATGGGAAGGAGGGAGAGAAAAGCAGGTCAGCAGAGGTAATTCTCTCTACAGTCTTACAGTCAACATCTCTCCAAACTTACCCTGAAGTACAGTTAGACCTGTTGGTTTGAAGAATCTTTTGTTCTAAGTAAGAGCAAACAGAAGTAAAGTTTTAATCAAACTTTCCTCTCCCACATCCCCTCTGTCCCCCGCCTTACTGAATTAGTCCTCGGCCCCGATCATTTTAGCAACCCTGAGAGAAGAAACAAGTTGAGAAAAACTTTCAGTCACCTGGTTTGGGTGGGACAGAAGGCAAGAAATGCTCAAATGCTGGAGTCAGTCCCCAGTTCTCCCTAAAGGACAGCCAACCCGATCAGCAGCTTGATTGTCGTCTCTGCCCTCTGCCAGGGGATTTGTTCCCTGTGGCTGAAAGGCAGCAGTTTCCATCAAACATTAACTTGGAGCTGAACACTGAAAGGGATGTGGTCACTGATGGAGAAGATAAGGCGGGCTGAAAAGGAATGAGGCAACCCCACTAAGAGATAAGTACTCTGGCCCAGATTTCCTTCCTGAAATCCCTCCCTGCTTGTTTTAAGAACTAGGAAGTGAAGCCAGGTTGCTGTTACAGGCAGTGTATTGTAGCTTGCGATCACACCCCTCCCATCTGCATTTTTTTTTATGTCCCCTCCTTTAGTTTCATCTCTTGTCTGCTTTAGCAGCAGACTGGAAGCTGGCCTCCACTGTGGCTTGTCATTTCGAAAAAGGAAATCGCTTTGGTCATCTTCTAGCAGAGTTTTTGTTTGTTTTTTTAAACATTGTGGCTCCAGGGAAGGTTGTTGGCACTGAGTTGTTATAGACAGAGTTGTACATACTTTCTCCAGCTTCTGAACTGTGATCAGTTTCATGAGAATCCAAAATCCATAGGGGAAACTTCCCTTAGCAGGCCAGTGTTGGTACACATAATTCTGAAGCCAGTGAAATTCTGTGCATGGTTATAATGACTGGGGAGAGGAAACATAGCTATGGTAAAGCTGTTAGCTGCTCATTTTTGCCCAATGGCAAAATGCCCTGGCAACTTTTTTCCTGACATGTGCCAATGAAATTATTCATCCCTGGCCCATAAGTGAAACAGGCTTAAGTCATCCTTAGTAGTGCCAGTTTTTATCATTTATTTCCTGGGGGTTATACTGGAGCTGCAATTCTGTTAATGTCATCTTTTTGCTCTTATTCCCATACTGTCCAAGGGCAGCCTGAGGATGTACAAAATCAGTTAGGCATTGTCACCACATTAGCTTGGAAGGAAGTCAAATGATTGCAGGAACTTAAAACAGAGCCAATAGAGGCAGGAGAAATTTCATGTCTGCATAATTTCATGCTGACTCTAGGAGGGCTGGAGAGCACTTCAACTCAGTGGTGGGAAGAAGCCCAATGCCAATTTTAAAAAATGTGCAATTCCCATAGAATCATAGGATTTAAGGCCACTGAGTTCAACCCCCTGCTCAGGGTAGGCACCTAACATAAAGAATCCCTACCAGATGCCTCTTTAGCCTCCTATTGGAGTAGTAAGGATGACAACAAAGATGGCCACTCTAAAAAGTAAACAAATGTACCCTTAACTCTCATTCTCGACCTCAGCTCCCTGTCTTTGGTCTTCCCTCTTCATCTTGATGGATGATACCAGTTTTGTGACTAAACCCCCAGGAGCTACTGGGGACCAGCAGAAGAAGGAGAGAGGTCTCTTTGCTGGTCATGGAGGAAGAAGAGATGAAGCATTTACTCCTTTTCCAACTAGCTTGGTCATATGTGGCTGGGAATAAGGAAAAAATTGACTGATGTATACCATAATGTAAAATTATACCAATTAACCAATGTGCCAACCAGAGTGGAGTTAACTACCAGTACTTGTGCTTCTCAGGATTTTGTAGTACAACCAAAATGGGGAAAATAATATGAAAGGTGTATTTTAGGAAGAAATAAGTGGGAAAAAATTATAGATATGTTTTCTGATAGAGAAGATGGGTTGGAAAATACATGTAAAAAAGGAATACAGAAACATATGTAAAAAAAGGTACATAGAAAATATTTATGCACACTGATACAGATACAGAAGGAATTTATGAGAAATAGTAAGATCAGTTTTAGCTAGCCCTACCTATGAAATTTGTGCTTAAATACAGAAATTACCTACTTAGGGGAACAATTATTAGAATATGAATATATTCTATACAGCACAATCATAATCATATTCCATAGAATATAACCATATTAGTGCCAATCACTATATAATCCTATGGTATGGTTTTGATTGGGTGGCTAGGGGCCAAGAGATACAAGAGTCTTGTACTTTTAATAGCTGGATAAAAAAAGGGTTTTCCCTTGACACAACTTGTACTCAGCTGTTAAAAGTGTAGAAGCCCTATCTTTTATATTAGGTCACTACTATTTGTATATGTAACAACAGTTGTTGTAACTTAGGAATCCTGTACTTTTTAAAGTCTTTTATCTCTTTATCTGCATAGTTTAGAGATAAAACAGCACGCAGGCTTTTGTTTTTTAAGTAGCAAAGGAATCCTATAAATATGCAGAGATGGAACAATTTTTCTTCAGGATGGAAGGGTGTGGAAGTCAGCAATGGAAAATCAAGAATGGTTAACTGGCAGTAACTAGAAATGTCTTGCTCCCCAAATCACTTGGAATGAGATTAAGGGAGAACTAATGAAATTTCCTAGGTTGTTCAGCAAGAAAATCTATAAGAAAAACTATCTGGATTTTGGTATGCTGTTTTTGTTTTTGTTTTGTAACTGGGATTAGGCTCATGGGAAAGAAAGCTGCCCCTAATGGAAATAGTAACTTCAGATAGACAATTTCTGTCTGAATTAAGCCATTACCCTTTTTTATTACATTGCCTAGTTTATTTCTGAGTCCAGAGCCCTTTTCAGGCTTCCACAAATGTAACTGACAAGTAAAGCAGAGGAGGTATGCTGGACCATTGCCCCCTCCATCTCCTCAGAGTCTCCAAGTCAGTCTTTGGCTGAGTTAGTACCACATGCTGAGCTCTGGTAACTGAAACCCGTTTTCCTAAATTCTTGGGTTTGAACACCCCACTGAACCATAAACTCATTAGCCAACCACTTTTTAGTCTGGACTCTTTTGCAAACCCAGCCTTCCTTAAACTGGTGATCTTCAAATGTATTGAAAGTGCCATAGCCCAAAGTCTTTGAAATTGTACTCCAACACATGCATGGGCTGCTGGCCTTGATGGCTGGGGATGCTGGGAGATAAAGGTCAAGACATCTGAAAGAAACCTGTTTACAGCAGTGAATGGACCCAGGGCATGTATTCTTTCTCAGGAAAGCACAACATTACCCCTTCTGAATGAACGGATCCTTGAGTGTCTTCTTCTCAAGTCCAAGAACTCTTAAAGAACTAACCCACACTCTCCATCTGACCAGTAGGGAGCACAAAACCAAAGGCATCATTTTTCTGCCCTTATACTGTAGTCACTGCAAAGGGAAACAATAATGCTGCTCTTCTCAATTTAAGGTGTCTAGTGAGAGGATACCATGGTACTACGGCTGCCTCTTAACAACAGGGAGGGAGGAAAGTAAGGAGGTGAGCAGCAGGATTTCCTACCAAATGGGAAACTGGCCTGCTCCCCAGATCTGCAGACCTTCTGCACTACAATCTGTAAACCTGAATGTCTGTGATTTCTGATATATTGCAGCTACGCTAGATGTGAAAACAGAGTTGGAAAGACATATGAATACTTATCTCAACTAGTTTTCTGGGTTTGCATGCCACACCGAACCATAAGCACAAAATGTAAGACAAAAATGCAATTGCCCAGTTTGTGGTTCACTATGTCATGTGAACACAGCCATGAAGTGAAGCAGCGGTATTTATATAAAAGATGTATGTTTTATAAAACTCTTGTCTAAATCTGAAATGGTTGCAAGCATCTCTTGAAAAACAAACCCCTTTCCTTTTGATAGGATAACATATCTCTTCTATATGCGGTAGCCCCCACTCTTTGGAACATTCTGCCCCCGGAGGTGCAATTGGCCCCCTCACTCCTGGCCTTCCATAGGGCTTTGAAAACCTGGTTCTGCCACTTGGCCTGAGGTGGGGAGGGAATACCTCAAGCATGGGAATGGCTAGCCCCATAGAGGCCTCCTGTCTTCAGCCTCAAATTTTTCATCTTCTTGGACTCTCCTTCCCCTTTTTTAGTAATGCTTTTAACTGATGTTTTATGTATTTATATATATTTATGTTTTTAATGTTTGTTGTGAGTCGCCCAGAGTTCCCCCATTGGGGGGAGATGGGCGGGTGAGATGTTTGTTGTGAGTCGCCCAGAGTTCCCCCATTGGGGGGAGATGGGCGGGTGAGATGTTTGTTGTGAGTCGCCCAGAGTTCCCCCATTGGGGGGAGATGGGCGGGTGAGAAATCTAATAAATAAATAAATAAATAAATAAAATATATTGAAGCCCTGGAGGATGTGGAAAATATATTCTAAAATTCCCACCTTCAGAGCCAGAGACATGTGTTAATATTAAAACTGGATTTATTATAATATTAGTATTATATGATGCAACTGTAATACTTTTTTAATTGTTCTGGGGAAAAAGATGGGGATATACCCATCTTCTTGGGCCTTCCCCCCCCTTTCTTTTTCCTCAGCCCCTAGTAACTCACAAAATTTAATTTCCACAACCCAACCATGCATATATAATCTTTGTTCACACTTTTATAAAGTAAAATTAAGTGAAAGAAATTGGGCACTAATATAAAGCTTGTCTGAGCAGAACAAATTTGAATTCTCAAACACCACGGAGAAGACTGGGGCATCAGGGCTTGAAGCAGTATAAAGATTGGAAGGAAGATAATTTTTCTTCTGAAATAGAATTGCATAAATAATCAGAGACCTGCTTCAGGTGATTATTTGCCATCTTTTGCTCATTATATTTTGGGGGAAGATACTATCAGTGAATATGATTGCTGATAATATCTTCTTGTTTTCCTGTTTTGAACAGATAAAAAGCAAGTTCACATTATCAAATTGAAACTTTTTTTTAATTTGTACCTTTTCTGAGATATTATATTAGATAAATAATACAACATACCATCTCTTATAAGCCATCTCAGAAGTAAATTACAGTAATAAATGGATTTCAAATTTCATGTTCAGCCACAACGTAAGTCAGAATGACTCGTACCTGAAGGTGACCTATGCATGCAATCTGATATGAATCCAACCACAGTAGTTTTTAAAACATGTTTTTTGACTGGATATGTTGTGCGAATCCAGCCAGTTGTGCTTGGTTCGGTAAATAATGGTTCAACAACCCATGACTTAGTAGTGTGTGAAGCAGAACACTGTTTCTAAATACAGTGGTACCTCTACTTACAAACTTAATCCGTTCCGTGACTCTGAT